ATTCCTCAGCCAGCTTTGCTGGCTGAGGAATTCTGGGAGTTGAAGTTCACAAGTCTTAAAGTTGCCAAGGTTGGACACCCCTGTTTTAGAGAGTTGTTGAGGTCACCTGGAGGTTTATCTGTGTTCTCAGGATCACCTGAGTGGTGTAAATGTGTGTGAAGCCTTCTTGGAATTGTTGAAAGGACTGTGTCGTAGACTGGAGACAGATGATGTCTGTTGAGGGAGGACTGTTCAATTTTGACACAGATGGCCTCTTTGACCCCTCTTTCAAACCAGCGGTCCTCTCTGTCCAAAAATGCGGACTTGACTGCTTTCAAAAGAGTGGCATTTTGTCTTTTAAATGCAGATGGACTGCTGAATCTAGTCCTGAAGGGTTTGTTCTGCTATGTTGTGCCATGCACTTATGAAGTGATTGTTTTGCTTCCCCCCAATGACCTGGATGACGGAGAATATCCATAGACAGCATGGTTCTTAAATGCATGGTTCTTAAATGAAGCTGGCTTCCTCCATTGACTTTGCTTGTCAGCAGCTCACAAAAGGTGATCACACGACCCCAGGACACTGCAACCGACATAAGTACATGCTGGTTGCCAAGCGTCCGAATGTTGATCCTGTTACCATGGGAATGCTACAACACTCGTAAGTGTGAATAGCAGTCAGAAGTCATTCTTTTCAGTGCTGTTGTAACTTCCAGCGGCCACTAAATGAATGGTTGTAAGTCGAGGTTTACCTGTACTCTGCTTCTCCTCACCTCGAAGTAACACCCTCAAGTAGGTGGGATTCATAGAATAGAATCTCATTTCAGTCTTCGCAATTGTGGCAGGAGATGGTTGTTGGAAGAAATTTCCATCTGGTTCAGTTCCAAGTGGGGAGAAAGACACTGGAAACATGGAGGCTGATTGGAAAGATGGTTTATTTTATTGATGAACAGGAGTTTGGGTTTGAGGTCCTGGGCAGCTGACCACATGGAGTTGAGAGAGAGGGGGGGGGTATTTATACCCTCTCTTGGGCTTTGAACTTGAACTTCCTGTTCCTGTGCAAGAATGTATTGTATTGGTTGCTGTCAGACTCCCATGGGCAAATCGTAGGAGTTTGCCTGAAATAAGTTTGGTTCAACCTTGCTGGGTGATGCAATGTCCTTAGATTTTGCAGTGCAGTGAGCCCTGCTGCTAGATAATCCTATAATGTCCTGGAGGGTTATGTCTTAATCCCATCACCTGAAGGTCTTTTGTCTTGTAGATAGGTTGGCCCAGTCCTTCTCAATAGGCACCAAATATCTGCTGGGGGCAGGAAGCTGTAGCACTGAATTTCTGTCTTTAGAAACATGTTTCTCCGTGAGGGAAAATACAATAAGCCTTTTTAATATTTCCTAAAATACTTCATTCTTCTAAGAGGGGTGGATGCTAACTTTCTACACAGTGTATGTGTCGTGGCCCACCGGCAGCTGGCGGAGCTGGCAGCAGAGTCAGACAGTAGTGAGGAGATTGGGGAGGAACCTGGGCCAGTCCTGGAGGCTGAGGAAGGCTCGGATGAGGGCTTTGTATCAGAGGCAGAGATGGGGACAGGGCAGGCCGGCAGTCATCAGCTGCCTTCAGGCTCAGGCAGCAGTGAGGCAGGGGGAGCTTCTGGAACTGGTTCCCAGCCTGCGCATGCACAGAGCTGCCAAAAGGAAGGCAGAATTAAGAACTCAGGGTTGACGTGGGAGTAAGGCCACAGGGGACGATGAATGGCCCCTCCCATCAGGATTAAAAGAGAAGCAAAAAGGAAAGGGGGCTTTTGCAGGAAGCAACTTGCTTGTTCATTCATCTGTTCATTCCAGCCTTGTGAACATTTGTCTGTATAGCACAGCCCTTCCCTGTCAGCACTGAATGTGGAATTTTACCAGGCAGCGTTCCAGGGTTGATAAAGGTCTGAGCTAATTAGTATACCTTCGTAAAACTGTTTGCCAAGCCGTTGGCTGACTGTGAATGAAATAAATTCACATTAATGTAATAAAAGAGGTTTTTGCCGGGACTCAGAATTGACTTAGTGCTTTTTGGGGAGGCCTAGGACAGAACAGTATCGCTGTGCAGCCAGCGATGTCAAGTTTGCACTTCTGACATCTTAGCTGGCCCCAAACAGCTCCCATATTCACTATCTTTGCAGGCTAAAGGAGGAGGCTATGAAAGTGAGGATGCCTATCAGAATGCCGAATTGGTTTTCCTGGACATCCATAATATCCACGTCATGAGAGAATCACTGAGGAAACTGAAAGAGATTATATATCCTAACATAGAAGAGACACACTGGCTGTCGAATTTGGAATCCACTCATTGGTTGGAGCATATCAAGGTCGGTTGATGGGTATTCTGTATCTGTCTATATTCAGCCGCAGAGTCCATTGGGACTGGGTGTCCTAGAAAGGCCATAAAATAACTAAAATGCATTGTGATTGTGTGTCATCGGCATGGATTCATAGCAGCTGTTCCTACTTGCACCAAGACATATTCCTTGTGTGTCTAATCGCACTTGGCCAATAAAGAATTCTGTTCTGTTCTACTCTACTCTACTCTACTCTACTCTACTCTACGCTACTCTACTCTACTCTACTCGTAAAGATTTTCCACCATCCAGGAACAGAGTCTGCATTTCATACTTGTTGGCTGCAGTGATAATTTTCCCGTTGCAACGTTCCCTTCCTTCTTATGAATAGTTGCTAATTAGAGCTCTGAGATATTGGCTCATATCTGTTCTCGGTCCAAACAGAAAGAAGGACACCTGACATGTATTCCAGAAAGAGATCTTATTTTCAAATGAAGCTGGCACTTCTGATGATGTGGTTCTTGTTCACTTTCTCTCACTTTCGCACTGAAGTGGGTTAGTAGTTTGTCTGACTTGTAAAGAAAGAAGAGAATAAGTTTGTTGAGCATGACACTTTCGCCAGGAGAGAGTTGGACTGAGGACAGGAGAGGGCAAAATAGATCTTGTGCAGGACTTTCCAAACTTGGTAACTTTAAGGCTTGTGGGCTTCAACTTCCAGAATCCCAGACAAGGAACAATGGATGGAAACAAGGAGAGATTCAACCTAGAAATAAGGAGAAATTTTCTGACAATGAGAACAATCAACCAATGGAACAGAAGTTGCCTTCAGAATTTGTGGGAGCTTCATCCCTGGAGGCTTTCAAGAAGAGACTGGACAGCCACTTGTCAGAAATGGTATAGATTCTCCTGCTTGAGCAGAGGGTTGGACTAGATGACCTACAAGATCCCTTCCAATTCTGTTATTCTAAGTTCTAATTCCCCAGCCCGCATAAACTGTATAAAAGATTAGAACAATAAATACAGATCTTAACTTTAGAAATTCAGTTGTGTCAATATAGCCAATGAATGACTGAGGATTGGAGCTAAAATGTTTTACAACTGTAGCTTCTGTCAACTTATTCTAGCAAAGGCAATGTGACCTGAGATGATTAGCAGGAAGAGACTTTTATTAATGTTTGCACAGGTTCCATCAAGCAAATTCATGCTATTCACTGATTGACATAAGTATTTGCATTACATAAAATGCAGTAAGTGAAAAGTTACAGATGAACTGATTTATCTTTGTCCTTTGTTTTCCACATGACTCATTTCTTTGTCCTTTGCATCTACGTGACTGGGCCTACTTTCTAATAGAACTGATTTATATTTCTCTACAAGAAAACAGTTGGGACAATCTCATAAAATTGGGAGGGATAGTGCCCTCACATTACACTGTCTTTGCTAGAACAGGTGACGGAAACTACAGTTGTAAAACATTTTAGCTTCAGTCCTTTGTCGTTCATGACAGGCATAAACTAGAAATTGCGAACGGCCTTGGATTATAGCAAATACCATCCAAAATATATAAGTGGCAAAAAAAAAAATGCCTTTCCTGATTTATTTTATGATTAAGCATGAGTACAGTGTGTTGTGTGTTAAAATCATACGTAGGTAAGCCTTAATAAATAAATTTGTATATATATTCTATGGAATATAACAGAACTTCGAGAATAAAAGACGGTTACCTTCTTATGGAATACATGCATCAACATGAAGGTATGGAAAAACATATTAAAATATCCCTTGCTGATCTTTCTATACTGCTCCCATCATGCAGACCTATTAACTTGGGCCTTTTTAAGGTGAAGGTGAATGGATGGAGCCCAATTGCTCTCAAGACTGCTTCTATTGGATATAAAAAGCACAATCACATAATGCCTTTTTTTTTTAACCCAGCTGATTCTCGCTGGAGCTCTTCGGATTGCTGACAAGGTGGAATCGGGGAAGACTTCTGTAATTGTACATTGCAGTGATGGTTGGGACCGTACCGCTCAGCTCACCTCTCTGGCCATGCTCATGTTAGACGGCTATTACAGGACAATACGAGGCTTCCAGGTGTTGATAGAGAAAGAATGGTTGAGTTTCGGGCACAGATTCCAGCTGGTGAGTGTGATTATGGTATTTTTTTTGGTAGAACATCAACGAATTTTGAAACACAGATCTTTAACAATACTAACAGCAGAAAGAAAGGATAATGTTTTCCTCTCTTAAATCAGGTTCCAGGAAAGCCAGGGTGAGAGTTTTTTGGTGCACTGGTTCACAGTTAGAATTTTGTTGAATTCTTGTGCTGAACATTTATACATAGGCCCAGAGGTGGTCTTCAGCAGGTTCTCACCAGTTCTGGAGAACCAGTAGCGAAAATTTTGAGTAGTTCAGAGAACCAGCAAATACCACCTCTGACTGGCCCAGCCCCCATCTATTCTCCGCCTCCCGAGTCCCAGCTGATCGGCTGGTTCTTCTTTTGTTGCCCTGCACAGGAGAACGGAGCTGGAAAGGAGGTTAGTGGGCTGGGGAGGAATTGGAGATTTTGCAATATCCTTCTCCCAGGAGTGGGGAGGGAATGGAGATTTTACACTATCCTTCCCCTGCCATGCCCACCAAGCCACGCCCACTAAGCCACACCAAGCCATGCTCACAGAACCAGTAATAAAATTTTTTGAATCCCACCACTGCATAGGCCATCTTCTCTGTTGAGAATGCAGTATTTGTTTTCTTTATCTATTTCTTTGCATCTGGCCCATTACCCGATCTTGTATACAAACATACAAGTAGAATTCTGTATCTCAAAATGCCGATCCTTGATTTAAGATTGTGAATTGGCACTTAGAAACTGACTGAGGTTTGCTGATCACCACTCAGACATAAATGCAAGAGGTTAGAAAAATTCCACAGCTTACTGTGGAAGAATAGAGTGCAATAGTTTTGGTGAGTTGATGCCAAAGTCTTTGACAACTATTGAAAACCAAAAAATGATTTGTTTTTTTCTTCAATCTAAACTCTCACAGACTTCCATAGCTGGAAAAAGTGAAGAAGAGGGCAATCAAAACTAAGCAAGGGCCTTGAATGCTTTTCTTATAAATATTTTCAATGTTTGGAGGGTGAAGGATGTGTGTTTGTGTTTATTTTCGTGGTTATGGTCATGATGTGCACTGAAGATGGTGTTTGATTTCGTTGTACAAGGTGCAAGGACAATAAAGTAAAACTTATAAGGAAAAGCTAGGATGTGTGTAACTGTAAGATAGGAAAAAGACGAAGGATGTCAGGAAATTATACATAGCATGGAGAAAAAGGAACAGCATGGAGTTTTCTCATCGGGCAAAACTTTTAGATAGTATCCAGTGGAACCAAATAGAAGATTTAAAGCGTTTTTTCAAACAGTATGTAATTTGCATGTAGAATTCATTCATTTTAGGTGTGATTAATTCTAGTTGTAATTGATAACAGGGATGATTCTAAAAGTAAATTGGATAAATTGATGGGGATGAGTCTATCAAGAGCTATCTTGATAGAGTCAACATCAACACTCAATGTGGAAGATTCTTGTTACTTGAAGATGGGGGTCAGCATGCTTAAAATACCAATTTTGAATAAATAACATGGAAGAGAATGATGTGTTTTCTCCTTATGAGAACTTTAGGAGGCTCTAGTTGGCCGCTAAGAGACAAAAATGCTGAATTCAGATGGAACTTGCCTAATTAAAGATACAGAGTGTCCTTAACTTCATGTTATTGGATGAGGATGCAGGGTGAAAATGTTTACACTCATCTCAGTGAACTTTAAATGGGCAGGGTGGAGAGAGAGAAATAAAAAAAATTGCTCTTTAATTGTTCTTCAGGCTGCAAATCAGGAATTGCGGCTCCACCTGCAGGCCTGTTAAGTTGCTTGCTTTGGTTCTATGAAGAGGGTAATTGTCATAGGTTGGTGTCACTATGTCTGCGTGTTTTGCCTTCTACCTTTTTCTTGTTTTCTTTCAGAGAGTTGGCCATGGAGACAAAAACCACGCAGATGCTGACCGATCTCCTGTTTTCCTACAATTTGTGGACTGTGTCTGGCAAATGACAAGACAGGTATATTTTGTGGACTGCAAAGAACCCCAGAAACAATATTCTTCCCTTTTTGTTGTCGAGCCAATATGAAGTCAGTGTGTCACGGTGTATTTGTAGCAAGGGCCAATAGGTTCAGTTCTCTAAAAAAAATACCTCCGTAGGCAATAAGCCTGGTAAACTCAGTGGGTCTCAGTCCTGAACATATTCTCCATTTGTATAGATGGTCCTCAACTTTACGATCACTGTTGAACCCAAAATTTATATTGCTAAGTAAGACATTTGTTACGTGAGTTTTGGACCATTTTAAAAAAAAAATTCTTGCCACCTTTGTTAAGTGAGTCACTGCAGTTCTTAAATTGGTAAAAGGGATTGTTAAGTGAATCTGGTTTTCCCCACTGACTTCGCTTATCAGAAGGTCACAAAGGGAATCCCATGACTCCAGGACACCACAACCGTCATAAATATGAACCAGCTGTCAAGCATCCGAATATAAATCACGTGACCGCAGAGATGCTGCAAAGGTCATAAGTGTGAAAAATGGTCATAAGTCACTTTTTTCAATGTCATTGTAACTTCAAACGGTCACTAAATGAACTGTTGTAAGTGAAGGTCTACCTATATCCGTGGTGGCGAACCGAAGGCAGAGCCATTTGTGTGGACACGCAAGCCTCAGTCAAACTTACCCGCACTGCACATGCGCGCGCCTCCCAGCGGATTTTTGGCCCATTTGAGGCCGTTTTCGCCCTCCTGGAGGCTCGAGAGAAACCACTGCAGCCTCAGGAGGCTGTAAAACAGGCCTGTTTCAGCACTTCCGGTATTTCCAAAATGGACACGTTTATTTTGCCTCCCGAGGCGACAGAGGCTTTTGTCGAGCCTCCGGGAGGGTGAAAACGGCCTCAAACGGGCCAAAAATCAGCTGGCAGGAAAATTGTTCTTTCAAAGGTCATGTGGGAAATATCCAGTGTAAACCTACTGCAATGTTTTTCCTTTCCTCCCTCCAAGTTTCCCACAGCTTTTGAATTCAACGAGTTCTTCCTGATCACCATCCTTGACCATCTCTACAGCTGTCTCTTTGGGACCTTCCTGTGGAACAGCGAACAGCAGAGAGTGAAAGAGGTGAACAATCACAACAGTTCTTTTTTAAAAAAATAATTTTCCTTACTCATTTATATATATACTTTTTTAAAACATTTTTTTTTAAATTAAGTTATAAAGTATTATAAAATATAAAATAAATAAAAGAGCAGTGAGGAGGAAGAGGAAAGGCATCCAGTTTTGTTCACCACATTATAAAAAAAGATGTTGAGACTCTAGAAAAAGTACAGAGAAGAGCAACCAAGGATGATTAGGGGACTGGAGACTAAAACATATGAAGAACCATTAGAGGAACTGGGCATGGCTAGTCTAGGGAAGAGAAGGACCAGGGGAGATATGATAGCAGTCTTCCAATATTTGAGGGGCTGCCACAGAGAGGAGGAAGGGGTCAAGCTATTTTCTAAAGCACCCGAAGGCCAGACAAGGAACAATGGATGGAAACTGAACAAGGAGAGATTTAACCTGGAAATAAGGAGAAACTTTCTGACAGTGAGAACAATCAACCAATGGAACAGAAGTTGCCCTCAGAAGTTGTGGGAGCGCCATCACTGGAGACTTTCAAGAAGAGATTGGACTGCCATTTGTCAGAAATGGTGTAGGGTCTCCTGCTTGGGCAGGGGGTTGGACTAGATGACCTATAAGGTCCCTTCCAACTCTGATTATCTATTATCTGTTATCTGAAAGAGAAGTGAGGAAAGGTAGGAAAAGAAAATTAAAAGCATTGACTTCCGACTCTTTCTGTTGCAGTAGAATAAGGCATTGGCATCAAATCACAGCGTTTTGTTTTTCCATAATATCAACAAGTCATTTCTGTAAAGATCTATCCATCTAATGTTGTAAAACCCAAAGTCAAAGTTCAATTCTTTTCCAAATCAAGCACGAAGTTCAGAAGCGGCTTCCATGTGGAAACAAAAGTACTTGTGCTCTTTTCTTTCATCAGAGTAGTCAGTTTTGTCATTTCCACCAACTCCATCAACTTCTGCATCCATTCTTCCATGGTGGGTATCAAAGTGTCTTTCCATTTTTGCCCATACGATAGTCTTGCTGCTGTCCACATGTATAGTAACAAAGTTCCAACTTTTTTCTCCAGTTCTTTTTCCATTAGTCCCAAAAGGAAAAATTCTGGTTTCATTTCTACCTCCATTTTCAGAATTTTCAGTATTAGGATAAGAATCATACTCCAAATTTTTTTTTTTTGCTTTATCACATGTCCCATCATAGATGATAAAAAAATCTTTATTTTTACACTTCCAACATCCATTTGACATGCCTTTATAGATAGCTTATCTGGTGTTAAGTACCAATACATCATCTTATAAAAGTTTCCTTTTAAATTATAATTTAATGTAAATTTTAAACCCTTCGTCCACATCGTTTATATATACTTTTTGAAATGGAACAACATCCTTGTTCCTTACAGGGCCTTTCAGAAAAGACAGTATCACTCTGGTCCTACATCAACAGTCAGCTTGAAGACTTCAGCAACCCTCTGTATGCGAGTTACACCAATCATGTGTTGTATCCCGTGGCCAGCATGCGTCACCTAGAGCTTTGGATAGGATACTACATCCGGTGGAATCCTCGAATGAAACCACAGGTAAACCACAGATGCATGGAGATGAGAAAGGAGGCTTGGATCAAAATCAGATGTTTCTTGAGATTGCAATTACAGTTATGGACTGAGAATCTCCATAGACATTCTGTCTCGAGAGTGAGCGAGATGTCATGCCTCTGTCGGATTCTGAATCCGAGGAGGAAGATGAACAGCTGATAGGGAGTGGGAGTGTGGTTCCGTTGGCTATGGAGGAAACTGGGAAAGAGCAAAGTCTGGCTGAGCAGAGCAGGGGAGAGGTAGAACAAGGGAGAGGGAGTTCAGAGGAAGCCCCAGACCCACCCCCTCTTCATCCTAGGGCACGCAGGGAGGAACGGAGAAGAGAGCAACTTGGGTTGCGTTGCTTATGGGGGAGGAAAGGGCCCTGAGTCCCTTCATTAGGCACACTTGGAAAGAGAGTTTAAAAGAGATGCAAGCTGAGTGCAGTGTCTGCTGGGAACAAATGTGAGTTTATCTTGTGTTGACTTTGGTTATCTGTGTTCCTAACCCAACCGTGTTGAATTACTGCCATTCCTTCATGTCTGGAATTCCTTCTCTTTACCCTGCCGGACTAATTACCTCATCTTGCCCTGATTGGATTTATAGTTAAAGTTTTTGTTGACGTTTTGGACTTGAATCTCTGTAGCCAAAGGCTGTTCCTGGGAGAGTTTTTCTCCAACCCAGAAGGTAACCGGGGGCAAAGTTGGAGCTAATAAAAGAGCTCCTACTGATTATCTGACTGTGTTGCCTTTGTGTCATGCCCTGGTCATCACACAAGGTTTTGTTTTTTTAATTGTTTTGCCATTAGGAACCAGTCCACAACCGCTACAAAGAACTCCTCGCAAAACGAGCAGAACTTCAGAAAAAAGTGGAAGAGCTCCAGCGAGAAATCACCAACCGCTCCACTTCCTCCTCCGAGAGGGCCAGTTCCCCTGCGCAGTGTGTTACGCCAGTCCAAACGATTGTATGACATCACGTGCCCCCATCTTCCAAAACCTGACGCTCTTCCTCAACACCTTCACGCACTCCCTGGCTGGCCTTGAGGGCAGCTGTAACCCAACACAGTGGGAAAGCAACAGATTGATGAAAAGCTGGAGCAGGACTCTTGGGTGGTGGCCCCTTTTTCTAAGCTGTCTTGTGTCTAGACATTGTATTTATTATGGTCTACTTCTCCAGGGTATTACAGCTGTAACACAATAAGGTGGAATCTTTTTTTAAAAAGATCTCTTATATAATTAATTTTCTTGAGAGCTAATTAAGAAGAAACTAGCTGCATGGCATCTCAAGACCCAACTATAGGACCTTTACTAGTGAGTTCAAAATCTTTAGCATTGTTTTTTGCCATGGAGTGATGCACTTATACAGGGTCATACTTATTTCAAACCTCAGCCGCCTGAATCCAGAGAGCCCGATAGGGACTTCTGATGTACACAGTGGGCTTTGCAGATTTTACGCTGCCCACTTACGAACTGCTCCATAAAACACAAAGGAGTTTGCGAGGGCAATGCAAATCATCGTAATGAGTTGCATGCTGGGAAAGAAGAATATTCATTGCAATCGTGCATATGAAAATTATGCATTCTTGGCTTTTCTGACGCTTATCGGTGATAAGACTATTTTGTGGTGCCTCATTCTTACAGAAATATGACCTCCAAAGAGTGGGGGAGCAAGAATCCAAAATTTCTGAGGTAAATTACCTCACACAGGGAACAACTCCACATAATGTTTCTAGTGGTGTTCATGTAAAGAGGAAAACCTTGAAGCCCTCCAGATGTGAGAACTCCTGAAAATCTCAGTAGATTCAATAGCTGCAGGATGTTCAGTTGAGGTAAGGCCATTGCTGAAGATGCTGGAGATTGAAGTCGTACATTTAGCCAACACCTACGTTGAGGAAAGGTAACTTAGAAGTATCTATGGGAGTAGGCCAAATGTCATCATTTAATGACCCCGTAATCCCTTGCGGAGTGGAGTCGGGACAAGTGAATAGAGCTGAATGTTTACTGGCCGGATGCCCTTCCTGTCACCAATGCGGAGTTTGCAGCAGAGTGAGAATGTGTGTGCCAAGAGAGAAATATCAGCCTCTACCTAGGTTTGAACTCACAGCCTCCTGATTGTGAGGCAAGAGCTCCATCTCTAGGCCACCACACCACTCATATGGGAGGAGGCCAGATGTATCCATCTATTCTATCTCTGGTTGCTGTGATTTGTGGATCAGACAGTTAAACCATACGTCATGGTAAACAAATCAAATGAGAGTCTTCTTCATGCAGTGCTGCCAAAAAGGACCCAAATATAAATGATATTGTTTGATCACTTTTGATTGGGCTACTTACGTTTGTAAATCATGATATATGATTTAGGATCCAATCTTGGTCGGTTCAACCAAGACTAGAGGTTTAGTCTTCCAGCTTTTAAGATTTCTGCTGGAGTCTATCTTGCAGAGAACTTCTCCCTACCAGAATATCCATGTTCTAGTAGAAATTCTACACATTGTGGTAGAGGGAAGTTCCCTGAGGATAGGTCCCAACATGAGTTTGAAAGCCTGGAAGACTAACCCTTTGGTCTCGGTGACTTTGACCCAGATTGGATCCTGCAACATTATCCTGGGGAACTTATATGTAAGTGCTTGACTTACAACAGAAGAAGAGACTGGACAGTCACTTGCCTGAAATAGTGTGGGGTCTCCTGCTTGAGCAGGGGGCTGGACTAGAAGACCTCCAAGGTCCCTTCCAGCTCTATTCCGATTCAAAGCCAGCAAATGATGAGCTGGACATGAATCCAGGACATTGCAACTGTTGTAAATGCATGGCTGGTTTCCAAGTGCCCCAATTCCAATCACGTTGACTGTGGGGATGCTGCAACATTCATAAATGTGAAGACTGCGTTGACTTTTCTCAGTGCTGTTGCAGCTTTGAATGGTCATTAAACAAATGTAAGTCAAGGACTGCGTATATTAAGCTAATTTTCGCAGAGGATGGAGACGGCAGCCTTCCCTAGATATGTTGAAATACAATGCCCAGAATTCTCAAGCAGGATGCTCAAAGGGAAGGCTGAGAATTATAATCCTAATACATATGGTGGGAGCCACGCAAGGCAAGGCTAATTTATAGTTCCTACACCATCCTTGCCTCTGACTTCCCTTCAAGTTGTATTCCTGCAATCTAACTTTGAATGTTTTTTTTTGGGGGGGGGATTAGCTAAGATCAAGGATGGCATCTGTACTACAACTCCCAGCAGTCTCATCCAGCATTGCCGACAGCCAGGATTTAATAGGTCTGTAGCCCGAGCATCTTTTATGTTTTCCAGTTACTTTGTAAAGCTTTTTGTATATTAAACTGGACTTTTAACAGCAGCTCCTTTGAGATGCAGGAGCTAGCAGGCAATTACAAGGATGTGCCAAACTTACAAAGTACAATATAACTTGCCTCCTTTTTGTCAAAGTACATAGTTCTTTTTGTGTGTGTGTGAGACAGGACTGAGCTGTGTCTGGTGGACATGGAATTGAATGGGACAGTAACATCGGACTGGATCTTTAGGCTTCAGAGGGGCTGCGCTGCTTCTATAAGGACAAATATATCCAATATTCCAAAAAATTCAATCAGAATCCTCACAGGGGTATAGTCGATGACATATAATCTATTCCAGCATTTCCACTAAGGTAGAGGCAAGCCTTCTCTACAATCCTTAACTGTGTTAACTTGGGGATAGCTTTCTCCTATATTCGTCTTAAACGTGATTATTCGTCATGCATTGCCTTGAGGAGAGAGATGCTATGAACCAAAGATTAAAATGCCATTTTCTTGTTTGATAGCATACTGTATTTCACTCTCCGCTCCCCCCACCAAAGATAGGGCAAGGGTGGAAGAGACTGTCCCTTAACAAGATTTGACAAATGTGTTCTGATGCCATTTTAAACCATTTATCCTATATTGCATAAAAATAAACCTCTATATGAACAAGCCAATACAGTACACAAAACATTTCTGAAGAGGAATACCAAATTATTCCTGACAAGTTTACAGATAGAAGTTGCACTTCTGGCTGACATTGTGAACATCATGTTTCTTAAGAACTTGCAGCCCATACATAAAAGGAGTTACAGAGCAGTTAGATAAATGAGACAGACCTAGTAATGTCCAGTTTATTAATAGCTCACGGCATTTTTCAGCAGATAGATTTAAAACAAAAGCATAACTTCAGATTCATAGTCTTGCAAAATAGTTTATCATAATAGGCCAACAGGCTTGCTTTGCAATTGAGAATATTACGGCAATGCTTCAGGCCTCTTATTCAAAGTATGCCAAGGGGAGAGAAGTCAGCTAGCAAAAAAAAGCTCCAATTTCAGGTGCTCTAAAACCAACAATTCTCACATTAGGATGACCGATGGGGGGAATGGGATTTGTTGTCCAAGACATCTAAAGCAGGAAAATTGCACGTGGCACATCCTTATGACCACTGTGTACCTCACTCATGGATTAGAGGCAGAGCAATCATTTTTATGATCCTATTTGTGTATTTGGAATAGCTTAAAAAGTTTATTAATGTGAGTACTCTGCCCTCACATGAATTATCTCCCTGACATAGAAGCGCTCCCTCTCCAAGCTGCTTATGAGCCACAGTGGTGCAGTGGTTAGAGTGCAGTACTGCAGGCTACTTCTGCTGATTGCCGGCTGACTGCAATTTGGCAGTTTGAATCTCACCTGGCTCAAGGTTGACTCAGCCTTCCATCCTTCCGAGGTGGGTAAAATGAGGACCCAGACTGTTGGGGGCAATAGGCTGATTCTGTAAAACTGCGTAGAGAGGGCTGCAAAGCACTGTGAAGCAGTGTATTAAGTCTAAGTGCTATCACTAATGCTATTTTCTTCTCGCTACTATTTTCTTGCATGGAAGCCCATAAAGGCAGTGTTGCTGTTCCTTCCAATCTGCTTGTTTGAAAGAAGCAAAGCGATTCAATCTTAACACTGCTTTCAACATAGAATAACAAGAGTTGGAAGGGACCTTGGAGGTCTTCTAGTCCAACCCCCTTCTCAGGCAGGAAACCCTATGACAAATGGTTATCCAATCTCTTCTTAAAAACTTCCAGTGTTGGAGAATTCACAACTTCTGGAGGCAAGTTGTTCCACTGGTTAATTTTTCTGTCAGGAAATTCCTCCTTAGTTCTGAGTTGCTTCTCTCCTTCATGAGTTTCCACCTATTGCTTCTTGTCCTGCCCTCAGGTGCTTTGGAGAATAGCTTGACTCCCTCTTCTTTATAGCAGCCCCTGAGATATTGGAACACTGCTATCATGTCACCCCTAGTCCTTCTTTTCATTAACCTAGACATACACATTCCAGCACCGTTCTTTCTGTGTTTTAGCCTTTAAAGCTTTCAAGCATCCCCAGTTCTAACCCTGGCCATTTATACTTCTTTTATTGCAGCCAGAGCAGAGTCAGGATAGCAACCGTCCATCCTCCAGTTGTCCAGTTTTCAATCTTGACCCTTTTAACATTTTGCTTCGAGGCCAAGCAATGGGAGACATTTCACTGGAGTGAGCAGGCCTGCACTTTCCCTGCTTCAGCAGGAGATGGAAAGAGGCTGCGCCCACCAGCTAGGTTGCCAGGTGTCCATTCTCATTTCAGCCAGCAATGGGCCATCTGTCAGCAAGGCAAAATGTCAACTGATGATGCTACCTGCTTTGTGCATGGATTACACAGATCAGTTCCTGGAGTCCAGCAGTTCATAGAAAGCGGGAGATCAAAGAGCCAACCAGTTTTCACAACTAATTTATTCTATTTGCCTTTATTGCAGTCCAATCAAACCTCAAAAAAGCACAGGCCATTTTGAGTTACTACTACAGTCCAATCTTCGGAAAGCCTTTACATTATTAATATAATAAATATTATTGCATGTACATTAAAACTGCCAAGTACCAGAACCATGAGCAGATATTCTAGTCTAGGGAACATGAGTTTTTAAAAAGCTGCCTGCCAGTATTAAACAGCATGATCGAAGGCACCATTTATTTATTTATTTATTTTGGGGGGGGAGAGGGAATACACGTGTATTATTAACCTGCTTTTCAGCAGAACAGTAGAAATGAGATCAAATTAACTTGGCAATTCAGTTTCACTCTGAAACTGCATCACTTCAGTTCCATGGCTAAAATGGATATAAAATTTGTGTTGTTTTTTTTAAATGGTGTTTAATTAATGCCAATCTTCTCCCCTCTGTGCATAATTTCCGTATTTCAAAACGGGAGCATCTTGCTCAAACATCGAGACACGAGTGGCCATACAGGGAAGGCCATGCTGAGAAGGAAAAGCAGCTTTTTCTTTTTAAAGAAAAAGCTGCTTACGAGACCTTGAAAGAGTCAAAAGTGACATAGGACTTTGTACCATTGCTCCATTCAAAAGGCACCGTGTGTTTATAAAGCAAAGTCAAAACTCTGCACGCACACACAAACACACACACAAAATAATAATAATTCTGATTCTTTTCCCACTTGGCTTTTGATGCTCCAAATGAAATGTTTTTTTAAAAAACCCACTCGTAGAAGGAAGTCATCCCAAGCAATGAGTACAATGGTCAGAAGCAGAATTGTAGGGCAAGGGTTACGTTTCGTAGCAAAATATCCTGTATCAGTGGTGCCAAAGTGAGGCTTTCAGCGATGAAATAATAAAAAGGCTGGCCTATCTTTCTCCCTTTCTACCCATTCCCCAGCTCCCCTCCACGATGGCAACACGATCAGGCATACAGGTAGAATAGGAGAAGCCTTTGTTTAGAAGGTGCCATTACGGTATCATTCTTTCATCCAGCTGGTTGGGCCGCAGCCAGAATGATAGAAAGGTGCAAACCCCTCAAAAATCCCCCACACACACACACAGAGGCGGGGAAGACAAGTCAGCAGTCCCAACTGATGTCATCTTTCTGAAGGGAGAATTGTATACTTTGCATGTCTCTCAGCAGCTGGAGGTTCTTCTTACCCTGCCCGACGGGCTTTCTCTTAAGGCCGGCCTCTTTCACCTTCTTCTCTTCACCCACTTTACAGCAATCTCGAGCGCCGTGCTGTTTGGCCTTGCTGACCTTGAGCTTCTCCAGCTGCGCACCAGCACCACCCCACATAAAAAGAAATAAGAACGGGGCGTTTAAAACTGAACTTTGCTTTAACTTCCACTGTGAGCTCTCATTCCGAAAGTGCCACAGTCTGGCAATTTCTTTTCATCTATTATAGATGTCTGCTCTTGTTCACTCGCACACTCGCTATTACAAATGGTCTTTGTCCCTTTCTATTTGCAGCCACTCACAGATCACTTAATTTTTTTCCCCCTTTGCCTCCTCACACACTAGATGCCAGGGGAACATTCTATAATGTTCAGATTTTTAATTACATTTAAAGGTATGTGAGTCTCCACAATACCTTGTCTTGTCAGATGTTACATTTTTCTATCCTGCTCCAACTCTGACAGAAAAGTTGGTCTCTGACAGAAAACCACTTGAAGAGACTAAAAGCAGCATTTCAAATGTGGATTTACAGGCAGCTGTTATAAGCAGGGTTGACAAAATCAGAAATGAGGAGGAGAGATAAGCCGCCTGGGAAAGCCAAGCGAAATCATCAAAACCATAAAAAAGTGAAAGCTAGAATATTTTGGACACACGGAAAAATACGCCATCCTTTATTTAATCCTCCAGGGAAAGATTGAAGGCAAACGAGGTCCAGGCAGAAGAAAAAAATCATGGCTTCAAAATCTTAAGGGACTGGTTTGGACAAAATTTAGCAGCACTTTTTCCTGTGGCGGTTGATTAAAAATAGGATCACCAACATGATCACCAATGTCCGGTGACGGATATGGCACAAGAAGAAGAGTTTCCATAAGAAACAATCATCTATTCTGCATAGTATTTTGGGCACACTACATTGTTTCAGCCTACTTCCTTCAATTGCAATTTTGTTTGGTGGGCACCTGCTAATGAATGCAGCACCCAATCTCCTTGTTTAAAACATGATACAATTCTTACATGGATGCGGCGTTTGGATTATGCTTAAATTAATGGCTGTTGATCCAGCAACTTGGAAGCTGCTTTGCCTAGCAATTAATCCTGCAATTAAATCCATTGCTTTTCTCTTCATCCCAGGTAGTCCTCAACTTACGACTGTAGTTGAGCCCAGGATTATGGTTGTAAGTCATGCTGGTCACTAAGTAGGTCACCACATGATCTCGCCTGATTTTATAACCTTTTTGGTCATAGTCATTAAGGGAATCACTGGTTATTCAGTCAATGCGACAGTCATTAAGCATTTTCCACAGTGGGTGCTTTTTTGCTGGAAACTAGAAGTAAAAACTGGTTCCTGACCAAAAAAAAACACATCGTAAATGTGGTCATGTGAATGTGTATGGCTGAGAACAGTCCTAAATGCAGGCCAAAATATGACCATGGGAGGGTCCAGTTGTCAGAATTTTGACCTAGGAAGGCCTGTCATAACTTCAAACGGTTGTCAACCCTGAAGTGAACCTGGCTGAGGCCACCTTGGAGGCTTCAGGGGTGCTACACAGCAATGGGAGGGAGGAAATAGTTAGATGGGGTTTGTAGCCAAAACAAAGTTTTCCTGTGGGAACCAAGGACGTTCTCACAGGAGGCTGGCCAGAGGAGGAGCAAGTAACCAAGCAACCGGCCAGCCCTTGGATTGGACAGTGTGGCCAGTGACTTGGGGGGAAAGGAGAAACTTTTACTTCTAACCAGATGAAAGCCGAGGGAAATTTCAGAGTCGGCTTTCACTAGTTGTACCAACATGATGTATCCAATAAATTGTCCTTTGAGGAACTTGTCTGCCTTGCAGTTCTGTTTTCTGTGGGTGCATCACTAGGAACGCTGACAACAGTTGCTAAGCGATCTATCGTAAGTTGACAACTACCTATACTGCTGTAACACAATCATTTTTATAATGTCCGTAGCCACACCAAAAAGGAGCAGAAGTATAGTTTATAAAATTATGTGTAGCTGCAAGCCTATCTATGTGGACAGTAAGAGATTGTGCTGACAGAAAGAACCATGGATCAGTTGTCCTTCCGTGTTTGCTCTTGCACCTCTAATAGTGGCCACAGAATTATCATCTATGGCTTCATGCTTGCAGCTCAGCCCTGATGGAGTTTTCTGTTTCTGCAATTCCTACCACAGGCCTCTGTGCTTGCAATCGATTTATACCCAGATTCGGGATTCCAGAAGGTTGCACAGCCTTCTGTTCTTTGGGTTTTGCCAAAGGTAAAGAAGGTGTTGAGCAGCAAATGACGGCCTTTGATTGGCAGAGATGTAATACTAGGAGCTTCCCTTGCTTTCAAAAGAGGTAAAACTTATGAGGTAAAATAGGTAAAACTTATGAGCCACCAAGAAGCTTCTTCAGTTCTCAGTCTCCACCATTTAGTTAGAACTGAAGAAGAAGCTTCTTGGACGAGAAGTGAAATGTCTTCAAAGAAAATCCAGAAAGTCCAGTTGCCTCTTGAAAAAAAGCACCTTTGGGACAACCATGACTTGCATGACTGAGAATCTCCACAGACATCTGTATCAGGGTTTCTCAACTTTAGCAAGTGTTAAGGCCTTCCCTATAAGCATGGCTGACTAGGGAATTCTGGGAGTTGAAGTCCACAGGTCTTAAAGTTGCTAGGGTTGAGAAACACTGGCCTGGACCATGTTATTGCTGCAAAAGAGTCTATGATAAAGGTTGCTTACTGTATTATATTTTAACATGCTATCTTTAACCTTACTTATAACTCGTTTCTTTAGACAGACTATCATGATGACGTCACTTTTAAAGCTGCAAATTCTGCCTCAGAGCTGATGACAACATGAATCAGTGAAACCAGGCACTTATTATTCAACTTGACCAGATGGAACATTTAACAATGTCATTTGGCATCTCTATCTAAATTTTTATATCATTTTTTACTACTCTGTTTTATAACTATGTTTTCTTTGATGCCTTTACAAGGCAGTTTTATAGTGGAATATTTATCCTTTCAGCACTTTCATTTTATTTTTTTAATCTCTACTTCATTTCACCTTCCCTCCCAACTTAATTAGAAATTGCTACTCAAGTCCAACTGAGCTCAGTAATTCACAGTATGTTATATAACTGCGTACTATTCTGGCTAGTATTTGTAATAAAGATATTCTGTGCAATGATTTCATTGTTGTTGTTGTCTATGGGTGGGTGAGTGGGGAGGGTGCTTTCAAATGAGTCTTAACTCCTGGCAACTGCCTGGATTAGTCCCTGCAGTTCTCTTGGCAGAATTTAGGAAGTCATTTGCCATTGCTTCCTTCTTCCTAAGGCTGAGAGGGAGGAACAGGCCCAAAAGTGACCCAGCTGGCTTCATGCCTAAGGCAGGACTAAAACTCATAGTCTCCTGGTGACTGGTCTAAGGCAGGCATGTCAAATTCAAGGCCCTCAGCCCGCAGGATGCTTACAGCTGACTCACAGGGCTACTCTACTCTGGAAACAGCGAAGGACCAGCCCGCGGTGCCTCGGCCAGCAAAAACGGAGCTCGGGAGGGCAGCATGCAGGAGGCAGTTACAGCCAAAAATGGAGCTTGGGGGCCTGTTTATGCTGGCGGAGCGTTCAGGCCACCACAGGCACCCCCGACACGAGTGATGTCGACCTGGCCATGCCTACCCCGGGCCCGAGGTCAAACACAACCCTGATGCAGCCCTCAATGAAATCAAGTTTGACACCCCTGGTTGGCTTCATGCCTAAGGCAGGACTAGAACTCACAGTCTTTGTCATGCCCCTGTTGGAATCTGATTCCGAGGGGGAAGTTGAGCAGCTGACAGGGAGTGGGAGTGTGGCTCTGGTGGCTGTGGAGGAAACTAGGGAAGGGCACAGTTCGGCTGGGCATTCAGAGGAAGACCCAGGCCCACCCCCTCTTCATCCTAGGGCACGCAAGGAGGAACGGAGAAGGGAGCAACGTGAGTTACATGGGTTATGGGGGAGAAAAGGGCCCTGATTCCCTTCATTAGCTGCAGCTGGGAAAACGGAATTTTAAAAGGGTGTTTGCACATAGCACCTTGCTGTAAGCAAAGCATGTATTATCTTTGTTTGTCAAGTCTTATCTGGGTTCTGGCGTCCTCCCAACTGTGTGTGTTTCGTCATCTTTTGAAGTCTGCAATTCCTTATCTTTCCCTGTCTCGTTAATTGCTGCAACGTGGTTTGTGTTGGTTTTTATTTATAATGTATATGTACTTTGGGTTCGGACTGAATTCCTTCCCTTTAAAAACTGTTCTTGGGAGAGTTTTTTCTCCAGCCGATGATAACTGGACACTAGGGGCCAAGTTGGAGGTATTAAAGAGACTTTACCTACTTTTGTGACTTTGTTGCTTTCGTGCCATGCCCCGGATCATCACAGTCTTTCCAATTTCTAGCTTAATCCCTACATCAGACTGTGTCTCCAACGATGGCATAGGGGACTGAAAGTAGTCATCAGGATAACTTACCCGTGCCCGATGCCTCTGGATTTTATTGATTTGTTCAGCCTTGGCTTCCATCCTTTTCACAAGCACTTCCAAATCCTTCTCCAAGTCTCTCCTTAGGGCAATCGTTGAAGCTTCATGGATGAGTTTTGCTAAGTGCTGGTGTTGGCTTGTATGCAAAACAAAGAAACCAATAAAACAAGATTTTTTTAAAAAAACCAGCTGATAATGAATTTCTTTAATACGTGAATTTCAAACCCGCTTTGCTAATAGAAACAATTCAATGTTTTTTCCACACAGCAATCCTAATATTGCCTAGGAGTACTCCAATGTCAGAAGAGTCCAGCATTTTGTAAGAGATTAAACAAATAAGGAATAGGATTTACTGCTTCTTTTCCCACCTAATTCAACATCACCTTGTAGTATTTTCCCAACACTAAAACCTCCAAGAAAAGTCCCTGGAGGCTGGCATAAAGGGAAATTTGGCCTGGGTTTTTCCTTCCAGAACTAATGTGCCTGCTCTAATTTTAAAGCAAGGAAACAGAACAATCCCTGAGAAGCTGTGCCAATTCCACTAATCTCATGACATCATCAACCACATTCCTCACAGCCGCCAGGCAGAATGCAAGGACAAAGCACAGCCACCAAGCCAAAAAAAAGTTGGTCCTCCAAGATTATTTTAAACCACTGGAATTAAATCAGATAAGGCTTGTAACGTGTTCAAAGCAGAGATTTTAACATACGTAGCTGCCGAATATTATAACTAGGGGGAAATCCCTTTGAATTCAAAGATAGTGCCTGTCCCGTGTTGACGGAACTCAAAAGTTACAGAGTCAGGTTAGTATTTAGACAATCTCCAGGAAACACTAAAACTCTATGACAGACTGGAAGTAAAAAAAAAAAAAAAAATCCCGGGGGAAAACCCCCCACTTCCTTATTGAATGAATGATCATGATCAAAGACCAGCGACAATAAATTGAATGTTAAAAACGAAAACAGTTCTAAGTAGCACTACAAGGTCAAGATCGAAGTCAACTTGATTTGACTTTGCAACCAGATTCACTGATTTTTTAAAAAAAAAATTATAAAGAGCCCATATTATCTCACATCGGGCCTCACATCTATAGCGTAGAATTTGACCACAAGGAGCACGCATAATAGTTTTTTGTCCTAGGCCTCACCAAAAAGCACTCAGTCAATTCTAAGTCCTGGCAAAAAACTCTTTATTTACAATTATGTGAATTATTTAATTCACAGTCAGCCAACAGCTTGGCAAACAGTCTCACGAAGGTGGACTAATTATCTCAGACTTTTATCAATCCTGGAACGCTGCCTGGTAAATACTTCCACACTCACTGTTGGCAGGGAAGGCTGGGTTTACAGACAAATCTCCACAAGGCTGAAACAAACAAATGACCAAACGAGCAAGTTGTTTCCAGCAAAAGGCCCCTCCCCTTTTGCTCCCCTTGTAATCCTGATGGGAGGGGCCATCCCCCACCTCACTGCTATCTGAGTCCGAAAGCAGCTGATGACTGCCGGCCTGCCCTGGCCCCATCTCTGCCTCTGATGCAGAGCCCTCATCCGAGCCTTCCTCAGCCTCCAGGAATGGCCCAGATTCCTCCCCAACCTCCTCACTACTGTCCTACTCTGCTGCCAGCCCTGCTAGCCGCTGGCAGGCCACAATAAATAGTTCAGATTTTACCTGGTATATAGAAGGGAAGCACAGAAGTTGTCTAAACCAGGGGTCCCCATACCCCGCGCCATAGACTGGTAATGTTCCGTGGCCTGGAAGGACCAGGGCACACAGCTGGCGGGGGGTGGAGGGCTAGCTAACAAGCAAAGCTTCATCTGTATTTGCAGTTGCTCCCCAGCCATAAAAACCATCATCTCAGCTCCACCTTAGATCATCAGGCATTAGATTCTCATAGGAGCAAAAACCCTACTGTGGAGATTCTCACTCATCCAGGTCATGGTCGTCCCAAAGGTGCTTTTTCAGGAGGTAACTGGACTTGTTGCTTTTCTTTCGAAGACGTTTCGCTTCTCATCCAAGAAGCTTCTTCAGCCCCACTATCCAGTCAGAACTGAGGAAGCTTCTTGGATGAGAAGCGAAATGTCTTCAAAAGAAAGTCCGATTGTCTCCTGAAAAAGCACCTTTGGGATGATCTTACTGTAAACTGTAAAATTTGAGGGACCTAGGTTGCGTGCGCCACCTTCCCCCTTGGTCCGTAGAAAAATGGTCTTCCACAAAACCAGTGCCAAAAGGTTTGAGGACCATTGGTCTAAAAATGATCTGGTCAATTTGATCACATGGGTAAATTACCTGTATGCCTATAAAGCTTGCCCATTGCTC